TGCAGGTCCGCTAACATTCTATGTATGGTCTTCTCTTCCGGATCGGTTTAGTCGTACATACATATGTATGTATGTGTTTTTGTTTTTATTATGCTCAACGGTACTAATACAAGCCATGCTACATCACTCGGGAACCATTGAGGCGTGTGGCAAATTCATTATGCCACATGTCCATATGTATGTAAGTATGTATGTAAAGTTAATAAAGTTTTGTGTTGGCATACATACATGCATACGTGTGCTCAGGTAGTAGCTGCATACATACATTTGCTCTAGGTTTCGCCAACACGCAACAATCCCAGGCCCTTTTGCACATTTCTAATTTTCTCATGTAACCGCTAGAACTACTAGTTTGATACTGTTAATATATTCTTAAATTGCCGTTAAATTTACCTTCAGCCATATGGCCCGTTGCTTAGGCAGCGCCGGAACATATTTTCTCTTTTGGAGAAGACAACAGGAAATGCGCATGCGTCTGTTCTATGCGATATGCAAATCTATTAAGAAGAATCCAGCAAACAGTCATCTACTTCGATATTTTTCGAAACTACACAAGCTAGAGATGAATTAAAATCGATAGCATTTTTTTAGATTTGTCATTTAAAATTGGCCACATACGAGCTAAAGGAAAGGAAATATTTATTCCGCGCTCACATTTTAGCTGGCTGAGCCCTGCTCCAATTCAAGCTGAGCTTACTAATAGAAAGATCTAAATACAATTTTATATCCACCACCCAATGGCAAATGGTATTAGGGGAAGCTTTTTCATCGCATAAATACACTCGGATATTTGCCATGGCCTATCGAGGGGAGGTCTCTGTTGAAAAAAATTTAATAATAATAACTAAGGTTCGCTCTTGGATGGGTGTACCAGCTACTAACTACATACTGGACTCTTGAAGGTGTGTTCTACTTACAGGAAATGAACAACTAAATTCGGTTTTGTTGCAATATAATGAAATCAAAAATTAATTTAGGTTAACTAGGATGTCTAAAGAGCGAAATACACCACACAAGCGGTTTGACAAACCAAGCGAAATTTCCCTTTGCTTCAAGCCATTTGTGCTGTGTATGGGGGTGTTTGAAGGTTTGACAAACCGCCGTCAAACCTTCAAACACCCCCATACACAGCACAAATGGCTTGAAGCAAAGGGAAATTTCGCTTGGTTTGTCAAACCGCTTGTGTGGTGTATTTCGCTCTTAAGAACAGAATTAGACATGACAAAGACATCGAAGGGGATAGCAAATTAATTTCAGAAGAACGCGACTTATCAGTCTTGGCTGACTGAAGGGAAATGAAAACCTGGCGAGTTATTAAAACTGGTTTAACCGAAGGCCTCTACTGTCTCGGTTACGCTAAGGACCAACTAATTGCAGATGTGAGATTGTGAGGATCACTCAAGCTTGCCTAACCTGACTTAACTTATATTAAGTTCAGACAGAAATTTAATTGAGTCAATTATCTTTTTAACTGAGCTCCCGCTTTCTGGTGTTCACACACAGTCAGCTGCTCGATTGGCTACAGTGATGGAAAAGTAGGGACAATCGTACCTTTATTTAGTTTAAAAGTATATTCGGTACAAACACACCATTTTAGGTACATTTTGAAGGTATTCTAATAACTTTTCAGGAAATCCGTTCTTATTTTTATTGACATTCCAACGCATTTTCTGATGTGGGGAACTTGTCCAGTAGCCTCCCTCATTTGCGAAGGGACGTACAAATGATAAAAAAAAATCCAAGAACCATATTTCATCTAAAACCGTGCAGTCGTTTCTAAGTGAAGAGAGGTCTCGCATAGTGCAGGTTTTCAATTTCATCAAATTTCAAATCACCTCATACCGTTAAAAAGTTCCTAATTAAAAAAATAAAAGTTTATCGCATAATTCATGCTACTTATTTAATAATTTGAATGTAACTTTTTAAACACGTGGCAACCCTTTTCAAACAATCCAACTGATCAAACTAAAGATTTCTTTACATTCTTTAGTTTCTTTACATACCCGTATTTTTTATTTCATATTATTTTTGTATTAGTCAACTAAATTCGACATTTCCGGCAGGTGGCAACCCCCTTCAAAAGAATTTTCAAGCTAAACACTTATTAACTCTCCTTCGTCTGACATTGCGACAGATACTTTAACTAACTGATGAATTAAATTGAATTTGATTTTTTAAACATGTGGCAACCCCGCTAAATATAGTTGAGAAATGAAGATTCTTCAAACCCCCCTTCGACTGATACCCATATTTTAATAATTCATTTAACTCATTAAATAATTTGAATTTAACCTTTGAAGCAGGTGGCAACCCTCTTCCAGCACCTCAAAAATATTCTTAGTGTTCAAACTAAAGATTTCTTAACACTCTTTCGTTTGACATCCATATTTTGATATTGCATATAACTTTTGTATAAGTTAACTGAATTCGATATTTCCAGCGGGTGGCAACCCTCTTCAAAATATTTTCAAAATATTGCTTTCTGAAACCCCTTTTGTTTGGCGCCCATATGATGATACATAATTCTCTTACCTAATATGATTTTTTAAACAGATTTCAACTGTCCTATAGTTCAGCTAAGAAACAAAGCTTTACAAACCCATTTCGATTGATAGCCATTTTGTAATAATTGATTTATTTTTTTCATTAATTTGAATATAATTTTTTAAAAAGTGGCAACTCTTTTCAAAAAAGCAAAACCCTTTTGCACAGCCCAAGCCTTTTAATTTGACACCTCATTCCGGAAGATCGAACGAACGGTGCGGACATAATAGCATTGATTATTAAATAATTTGAGTTTGCACATCTACAGACCAAGCGCTTTAATTTCACATCTCATTTTTGAAAATCGGGCGAACGGTACAAATCTAAGATATTTATAAATATAAGATATTTATTTTTAAAACGTTAGATCGAAGAACTCGGAGGAAAGTCTTGAACTGCTCGAATAATTTTTTTTTATAGCTAGGTTTTAGGTACATTTATCTACTTTTAGGTAAAGTTTTTCCGCACACTAGGTACAGTTTGAAAATTCAATTTTACGTCCCTGAAGGAGTATCACCTGCAAAAAAAAGACCAGAAACAAACAGCTAATTACCATTTGTTCAATAAACATACCTAAAAGTCAAAATTAAACATACCCTGCAGGGTTTCATGAAAACATGCTTTTGATTAGCATTCAATGAAGCACTAATCGACCAATTAAGAATTGAAATTTTTTGTGGTAAATCGAGCTCAATTAGCCCCTTAATCAAGAAAGCTTGGCTAATTGCTCGATTAACGGCCTGTCTGAACAGACTTTCAATTAGGATAAAGGTATGATTTCAGATTATCCATCAAACTTGTTAACTTAATTATTTAGAACTAACGATTTAAATAAATAACACTACCAATAGACTGGAGTAAAATTATCGACTTGGATCCATAATTTAAAGGAATTACCGTCTACCTTATCTAAGAGTGCATTTAATCAAATATATCTCCAATGAATACATTTCGCAACTTGTTACAATGTTTTTTTGTTTTTGTAAGTGGAAAATGTTAACATCAAAAACTCTACTTCCATACATGTTTTACAAAAATGGTGCCTGCAACTATTCTCCGTTGCATTTCATATGTGTGTATGTAGACAAGGGTGGTATTTAAAATCAAATGGAGGATTTTTTTCAGTCTCACCCTTCAATCGGTAATACCACGATCACAGATATCACATATAAATTTTGGTCCCGATTGGAGATGGTTTAGGTGTGTCGCACAGGGGGCAAAGTTCAGATTCCTCAATGGAAATTCGAAAAATTAAAATTAATTTTTTTCTCATCTAATACCCTCTAATTCTTTTAGTCTCTATAGAGGAATGGAAAATCTATATGTGATATCTTGGACTATAGTAGCATCGACGTAGGGGTTGAGGCTTAGGAAATCTGATATAAAAATTTACTTCCTTTATTTAAGGACCAGCCTAATGTACTCATATATTTTTAGCGTGTCAGCATAAGGCTCGAGGGCTTTTCTCAGACCGATTTAGTCGTGGCTTAACCGTAATATACATATGTACGGTAAGGTGCAACAGTGGAAAATGCACAAACGTGCAACATTTGCGCTCTTCGGGGGAATTATGCAGGCAGCGCATCTATTTGTGCATATTTACGTATGTACGTAAATATGTTTGTTGCGATTGTGCTACTTTTGGGCCGCGTATGAGTTGTCACATTATTCATAGCAATGCATTGCGATGGCGATGACAACTGCAATATTCACACGCACACCCATACACACACCCACACACATACTTCCTTAGCCCAAGAACGGTAGCAACAATTAATTTTTAAGATTTTCTGCAGAGATGAGTATCTACATATGTAAGTATGTATGTATATGTACAGTTACATCTGCTGTGATTATTGTGTCTGCGTAGTTTTACTTTTAATTTTTTAATATTCGTCTGTCTGCGGCTTACTGTTATTATAGTTGCATGGTATTATATTTGTTTGTTTAGCTTACCACAGTGTAAACAAGAACAAAGCCATTATGCATATTTATACCTACTGACAACATACATACCTACAAATGTATGTATGTTGCAACTTGTGCTTAGTTTAGGGCTGCCAGACGTCCTGGTGTTCCAGGATTTGTTCTGGTTTTAGGAAATGGTCCTGGTGTCCTGGTCCACACTTAAATTGTCCTGGTTTTTAATGAAGGTCAATGCAGACGCCCAATTAAGTTTTTGGCAGATTCGTGGCTAAGAATTCGCGTTGATTTCTGATGTTTTTTTTTTTTTGTTGGCGGTGTTCACACATTTTTTTCCACGCAAAATACACAAGTGTTCACATGTTGATTTCTTTTTAAATATTCACAACGTTTTTCAAGCCAAATTTTTTTTTCTATAGAAATATTGTACAAGCTTTAGCCAAAAGCATATAAATCAGAGTTTTAAACGTTATACAAAGTTTAGGAAAATTCATAAAATTTTTATCAAAATTTCGAGCTTTTTAAACTGAATCTTAACATAATTTTTGTGTAAACAGTTTTATAGCAATTTTTATATGCAATTTTAGTCTCATGAAATTCAAGAGTCTAAAAAATCACGTTTATAATATTTTTTTTTATTTGCTGAAGAATCTTCGCACCTTTTTCCGTATAAGCATGAATTACTTTTCAAAGAAAAAGTGAGACACCGTTCGCAACAAAATTTAAAGAAATTAACGCCACTTTTTGTAAATTGCACTTGTTCTGTCAAATAAACCGAAAAAGTAGTCACCAAAAAAAATTTTAAAAATCAACGCGATTTTTTAGCCGCTTGAAAATTGCACTTCATGAGCTTAAAACTGTGTGGACTATAAAATGGTATACACAAAAACATTGTAAAGTTTCGGAATGAGAGCTAGAAATTTTGTATAAAATTTGAAATTCTGATTCAAATTAGGGCAATTCATCAAAGCGCGTAAATGCCCATATTGGTTTGTCCAAAGCTTGGACAACATTTTTATAGAAAAATAACAACAAAAATGTACTTGAAAAACGTTTTGAAAATAAAAAACACGTGAAAACTCGTGTAAGTTATTCTATGTTCGAATGAATATTTCTTTTGTAAGGAAGAAAATAATGATATCACCGGCGAAAAAAAAATTATCCACGCAAGAATTCGCCACTTGAAACTCTCACTAACTTCGTAATGAAAAATTGTAGTGGTTGTAAAATGTTAAGTAAAATGTTAAGTAAGTTTTTCTAATTTTCAAAAGTTTGAAATGTAGACTTACATATATGGTTTTTGTTAAAAAATGAACTTCGTTTTCATAAGAAAATAATAAATATTAAATAACGAAAAGAAAAAGTGTCAAAATGTCGTTTCCCTATAATTTTTCACATGACTGTATGATGAAAAATATTCAAATTTTGAGCATTTCATACAACCAAATAATCATAATTCACTCCGCTCTAGGGATTGTGCCACAAAACTATATTGCTTTTAATATCAGAAATCACTTCAAAATAATGCAACGCCAGAACCAAAGAAAACGTGTTTATTAGGAAGATACTGGCACCGTATTCACTAGTATCTTTGTTTTTCTATTTGGATGATGTGTCCTGGTCGATGGGTTCAGGATTCTGGCAGCCCTAGCTTAGTTTCAATTTGCTCTATGTACTTTTCATTGTACATATGTATGTATATAGTATTTTCGTTTGTGTGTTGGCATTTGCGAATACGTGACTGAAATGTGTTATTTGGCTGTTAAATATGTAGCCTGCGCTCAAAATATTGGCACAAGCCAGTAACATATCGTTTGACTACCATTCGCCGCTGCTAATTAGAAAGTGTAATATTAAAACGAAAGTCAAGTCAGACATGTTTTTGGTTAAAAGTTCGTTGAGCAATTAATAATGGAAATTTAAAAATGGACTGTAAATTGTTGTATATACATACATACTATATTAGGGTGCATCACACTCCATAAAACAAAAAAAATCGGTACGGGTTTTCCATCGGAATTATACAACTTATTATATTTTAAGACGTCCGCCAAAATATTTCGGAAAAATATTTAGATGTACGTGAATTTTTTATAAATAAAACTAGTTTTTGAAAATATGTTTTCCAAAAAATCACCTCCGATGATAGAAGAGTTTAAGCTAAAAATGTCTGCATAAAAATGTTTAAGAATTTTATCAACGGAATCAAAGTAATGGAGGTTTGGACCTATGTATTTTCAAGTAGGTCTAGCTCACGTAAATCTTACTGTTTTTTCGAAATATTTTGGCAGAGGTTTTAGAATACAATAAATTTTTAAGTTTCTATTATAAATCGCTCTTATCCACCCTAATGTACATATGTATATACAAATATACGTACATTTGCAGATATTTTATAATATCCTACTTTTAGTAACATATTTGTACATTTATTTAGTTTTTCGTTTGTTTTTAGACTTTCATATTTTTATCACCATGTTGGGATTTTGACTAATGTTAATTGATTGGGTGTGCTTAACATATAAGCATAATAATGTAATGGGTTCACTTGCAAATCGGTACTGTTGAAATACATATTTTTTTTAATTTTTGATCGGAACGTAACAGCTTTTATGGTCTGAATATGCATACTTCGCATAAACTTCAAACTATAATTTCGTATGTACTTTGTATGTATTGTGTATGCATTCCATTTCCCAGAAAGTTATATTTTTATTGCACTGGTACAAATGGTGAGTGGGCATTTGTCATCTTGATTCATGTCACGCTAACGATTCTATTTAAACCATGTTGTTTATTAGCGGTTAAATACTCTAACAATATACTTATTTTTCAGGAAACACTAGAAATGATTTTTAATATTCTTTAAATAAAGACTTATTTAAATAAATTTATGTTTTAAATAAAATTAATATGACTCAAAATGTTTTCTTTTTTATTCCAGAAACCAACTTTTTCGACGTCATCAGAAACATAAACGGTCAAAATGGGTTCCGATTGTGGCGTTTGGCTGGCCAAATACCTGCTATGCTTATTCAACTTCCTCTTTTTTGTGAGTATGAATATAAAATAATATAGCGCACATCCTTTGCTTTTCGTTCTTCTTTGGGCAATGCTTGGTATCCGAACAAATACACAAATAAAAGTGAAAACTTGTTTAGACTTTTTCTATTGCGGCCACAAACAATAATATTTGTTGCACTCCAAGGCGAGTTCAGCAAACCACAACGTAAATGCGCAAGTACTACATATTTACTATGAGTACATAGTCTAACTACATCTATGTCTACATACATATTTATGTTTATATTAGGGTGAGCCAAAAATGTAACCTAACGTATTTATGACCTTAATATGACTTTTTTTGCAGCGAAAAAATGCTCCCATATAGATAAATTTTTATTCCAATTTTAAAATTTTCCATGTAAATAACATTTACAAATTTTATAACTTTTGAACCGTTTGAGATAAAAACTTTTTCTGGGCATTAACTTGTAGGGCTTTAAATTCTCTAAAAAATTACCCGGAATTACATATCTTAGAGAGGATTAAGAGTATTAAATATGTTAATGATTCTGCTGAACGAGGTAAAGCATTGATACAAAATTATAATCGAACTTCGACGGAGGACGAAGAACAAAAGCAATTTCCTAGTTGCAATAAACTGCATTTTATTCATAACTAAAAAGAATATTAAAGTTTAAAAATGCAATACAATATAAATAAATGGATTAAAATTCTCTGTACGCTAACAAATGTGGTTCAAAATAAAAATTTTCTACACATTTTGTACCATTTTAGTGTAAGTTTTTTCATTTAGCATGAATATTTCCAATCATAAAACCCCAAAACTGCATATTTCTGCTTTTTTTCCGAATTTAATAGACAATCAACTTCAGGGTCTTTTTTTAGAAAATCTAAAGCTCTACAAATTTTTAACTCAAAGGATTCAATAGTCATAATATTTTTAATGAAAAAGAAATTGCATGTTATTTACACGGAAATTTTCAAAAAATTTCATTATTTTGATTGAACTAATAAAATTAATTGCATTAATTAATTAATTTGTAAGTTTAAACTCTTCTATCATCTGATCATTTATTTATATAAAAAAATCGATTTTTGTAAGTATTTTCAAATACGAACAGCTCATGTAAATCTTAAAATTGTTTCCGGAAGTCTTGAAAAATTATAAATTGTTTATTTCCGATAGAGAAACAGTACGGGCCTTTTGTTTTTCAAATGGAAAGTGATACACCCTAATATACATAGATACGGACACTTGTATGCCTATATCACATACATACCTATTTGTGTAAATAAACAAATTTGTACCTACATATGTGCATATTTATATACAGTTTTCAATCAGTTGTAGAAATGAATGACATTGTTAGTCCACGTTTAAGTGCCAACTAAAGCTAAAATTACAAAAATACGCGTATTAAATTTTATGCTTCGCAATTTATGTATACTCCCCCGCTTCCGCTACACTCTCAGTGTATGTATACGACTATTACTTTTATGTGTGTGTTTTTGTTTTTATACTAAGCATTTTATAACTTTTGTGATAATACTCTCACAACTACATACTAAGCATTTTCAATGCAAAATGCATTTTATTTGCTACAAATTGATTTGTTTGTTTTCCTTTAATCGAACCACAGGTCGTTGGCACAATCGTGCTGGGCACTGGCATCTGGCTGGCGGTCGACAAAGCCTCACTGATTGCATTGCTTAAGATGGTGGATAGCGAACACATAAACGTGAGTATACATTTTTTTAATTGAACTGCAACCACATATGTAAGTACATATATATACAGGTACATAAATACATAATGATGCCCAATAGCGATTAAAATCAAATGCAGCGCCACATAATCACTTCAATTAACTTATTGTACAATGTCCATTTTAATTTTTTTTTTTTTTGTACTGCTGCCCACCCAGCGCATATTGCAACCCTCACAGTTGCGTATAAATATTTTTCACCAGAAAAAATAAAGGAAACCCCTACAATTTGCTTTCCTTTCAAAATTATGAAATTAACTCTTACTAAATATGTAGCTAGCCGTCTAGCTGGCGGCTTATTTTTT